GATCATTAGGATGTCAAGACAAACATCATTCTAGGCTTGCTGGTTACCGTTGTTGTCCTCATTATTATAGTCATTTGCTTCAAATAAGTAATTTTTTTTTTCATGTATTAGAGTATTTTGGACTAAATTGTTAGTTTTTTAGTCGTATGACCTCTTTATATTATTTAGTTGTGTATATTCTGAAAACAGCACTTATTTCAATATACTACATATATAAGGGCAAACCAGTCTTTCTCATTTGAAACAACAATAACACAGTAGATCTCTCAAACAGACGTTTGTTTCATCATCAGCAGCTTTTTGACATCTCCTGAAAAGCTGCTTCTCTAGGAAGCAACATTGCAACAGCTTCTTGAAAAAGCAGCAACCGCCTCAAACGCCCCATTAGAAAAATTGTTTTTCAAAAAACTGCGGTGACTATTACAAATTTATTTTATTTTTTAAAAAAACAGACCACAGTTTTATGACACCCACCACATTTTAACATCTCAGGTTGAAAAAACAGCTTTCTACGACAAAAATTTTTAAAAAACTGCAAGAAATCAATTCTCCAAACAAACCTATGGTGGAGGTTTGAAAAAGCAATGAACTTTGATGCAGCTCTTTAAATGAGAACTTGTAGAATTAAATTTATGACCGACTAATCTTCAAATTCAACAAATTTATAGTTGAAGTGATTGCCTTGACTAAACAAATCCAATTGATAAGAAGTACTTTACTTATTTTAAGCCTTGGATGTCAAGATTAGTTGACAACCCGAAAGAGAGAGATATAGGTGGGTAGTATATATGCTACATGGTTCCAACAACTCGACTGTTTCACAAAATAATTTAGAGATTTTTACATGCATATCCCACAATTTATATTTATTTACATCTCTGACACGTAAACTTTTTCTTTGTACATCCATGCCTTTTTACTTATGGTTAAAGAAGGTGTGTTTCACTTTTTAATAGCTAGTAATAATGATCTCTTTTATTCTGTGATATGGAAGATTTGTGTTTTATAAATGAAAACAAAAGTCAAATTTAAGGTGTTTGGTATGTAAATACATAAGAATCGTATGGCAATTATGTAAATGCCGCTATAATTTAATAAAAATGTGAACATTTGTTTGCTTTATTAGAAGAATAGTTCCAATTTTTTAGTAATATTTACACAAACTTCAATTGATATTTTTATAACCATTGATTCTTTATGTTATTTTAATACGGAAGAAGATCAACACAAGGACCTACTGATTACACCATTGTGTTAAATGAATTATTTGATCAACACCACATATTAGTAAACTTGACTTACACTAGGCTCAATAGAAAGGACTCATTTAAATAGTCTTAAGAGGTCATTATGTATGTCATTGAAGAGGAGAAAATTTTCTTGAAGTCATGGGATGATGCAAAACTCATATTTTTCAAAAGAACTACAATAAAATTTGTGTAGACAATCGTGAGAGATATCACTTTCTGTGAAGGTTATGATGTTGTATGACGATGACCCATTTTGCATCTCTGCTTTGACTATGCATGCAATAATGAGTTACACACACACACACACACACACACAAAGTATTAACCCATAGAATCTAATGAGCATGTTTTGTTGCTTTTTTTAAAACAAAGTATATATGGAATATATGTGATATAACAAAAAGTATACCCAACAGCTAAAAAACAATCTTCTAGATTGTTATACAAGATAGTAAACAATACCATAAATACTATATATATATAGAGACTTACTTCATAATTATTTTATAACTATATCCAAACATGATTGAATTAATTTATAAATCTTATTAAAAATCATTATCACCACTAAATTCATAAATAGAAGAGACTTGATGTGTTCCAAAAATAGGCAAATTAGTCTCAAAGCTAATATCAATCAATGGATGAAGTGCACATATTCATAGAACAAACAAGGATGAGCATAACTATCTTAGGTTCCAAAAGAGAAATTAAAATAATTTTCAAATTCTAAATGCACACCTAATCTAACGAGTGTCATCCACCAAAAAGGTAGAAGGCCAAATTTGAATATTTGATGGTACAACTTGAGCTTAATAGTTATATTTTAAAATTCAACCCTCTAACGATATCCAAAAGATAAGGTGCTAATACAAATAGTTTTTTTTCAAAATGAGAAATAACATCCTACTTCACTAAAACTCTAGCCATAGAAGATCTAGAAAGGCTTGCAAAAAAACCATTCATTGCAAAGGTTTTTCAAATAAAGATTCCATAAAGCGGATTTGTTGGTGTACTACAATCAAAGTTATACAAATACAAGCCAAATAAGAGCGATTAGACGTTTCTTAGAGGATTCAAAATGAGGAAATCACTTTAGCATACACTTCAGGTAGGCATTGATCGAATATGAGCAAGAAGAGAAAAGTTTAATTTAGTCCACTTCTAAGATGGTTTTATGATGATATGAAGATTGTCTATAGTTGCCCACCAAATATAAGAAACAAAAATTTACAAACTATATCTTAGTTAGGTCGACTAAAGAATTTGGCATCAATCAAAATAAAAAGTGGTTTAACAAATACATAGCGCTTTTCATCAATGAAGATAAGAGCACGTTTCCCTTGGTATGTGGAAGGATGCTTTTTTTGAAGTGCAATTATAGCTTAGTTAAAAATAATGAAAAATAATTCGATGAGAAGAATGTAAATTGGAAACATTCAAACCACCAATCCTATTTTCAAACAAACAACCAAAATTAAAGGCACAATCACCAATGAAGAGAAATGAAGAGGAGCTTTAATAAAATAAGGAAGCATCAAGAAAGTAAGAGACAATGGGAGTGTAACTAAGGGATCAACCACAGCCTAGGAGCAACCAATGTCAAAAAAGTGGCAATCAAAACAGAAAGCGAGAGCAGAAAAACCAACACATGTTTCCCAAATTGGATGAAGACAAGTGAATTTGAAATGAAAAAATAAAAAATTAACGAAAGTGGAGAAGATTGATTCATAAGCAAGAGAGGAGGAAGAACTAAAGCCTTATCCATATGAGACATGCTTGGATGAGCTGAGGCAAAGGCAAAGCGCCCCCATGCATGGTAATGGGGTGAGCTCAACAAAAACAACCCACAAGCATAGATCAGAGTGTTGAGTGAACAAAACACATGCATGCAAAATGGCCAGTATATGCCTGCTAGGTTGGTGTGATTGCATAGTGTTAGAGACGTAGAGCCGAGAGTGAAAAAAGTTAAATGGTTTTCAATGTGGTGTGATGTTTAGAATCTTGAAGGCAATATTTAAGTAGAATATTAGGTTTTCTAAGTGAGGGAAGATTTGTTCATATTTATTGTGCTGCTCACATTTTAAATTTAATGATTCAAGATGATTTGAATATATTCACTAAACATATTTAGAATCTTGGCAAGCATATCTTATTAAAAAAGATCACTAAGTCGTTTGCATAATTTAGTGGGATTACACGATTGAATATCTAAAACACAATAAAAATGCTAAGCATTGATGTTTCACCATGTTCAAATTCCACTTATAAAATGCTCAAGTTGATGTTTGATAAATTGTTTTTTACTACACATACTTCAAGAAATCGACAAAATTATAGAAAGTCATCTTAGATGGTTCGGTCACACTAAACGTCAACCATCTGATGATCCGATTAGGAGAGTAGATGTTTTATATTCGACTTGTGTTAAGAAAGGTAGAGGTAGACCTAGGAAGACTTGGGCTTATTGTATAAAAAAATGATCTTAATTTACTAGAACAAAATGAAAATATGGCACTAAATAGAACGCAATGGAGAAAAAGGATTCATGTAGCCGACCCCACGTAGTGGGATTAAGGCTTTGTTGTTGTTGTTGTTGTTGTTGTATACTTCAAGAAATCTATATTACAATTTGTTGCTTTCCTGATATGAGTCGGTTCAATTTTATAAAATTAGAGTTGTTTGTATGTTTCATCATATCACTGAATTTCATTTCATGCGCAAATTATCGTTCAAAATACATAAACAACTTCGATTACCAAGTAACATTCCATATAGGATCACAATTTTCTGAAAGCTCGGATAACAAAACTCAATCCTCAATCATATTTTGGGGCATTCACATACACGCCACCCAATCTTATGTATTTCCACATCTAAACACCTAAAGTTTACTTTTTTTTGCATTTATACCACCCAACAGTTTCATATCACGTCCAAAATATCACCATTTTAACTTCAAAAAAGTGAAATACAAATGTGTAGATAAGTTGGTATGTATGTGAACATTGAAGTTTAGGTGTTAGATATGAAAATGCATAAAGAATGGAGCGACATATATGTAACACTTGCAATAATAATAACAATAATAAAACTCTATTATAAAATTCGAAGCCGAAAACAATTGTACTTAATCATACATGATCGATCCATGATGTCATTCCAAGTAACATCATTTTCAAACAATCTGATTTTACAATTAGGTGATAATTTTGTTTGTTTTTAGGGGCACTTAACATACATACTATGCAATTCTCATGTATTCGCATATCAAATGCCTAAGCTTTCATAGCTAGATACATAACACTCAAAATTTTAAAATCGCATTAAGAATATCATAACCATGAACTTTTTATAAGTTAATTACATTTTTTCATGAATAAATTTATAACACCAAAGTATTCTAAATGTAAATATCAAATTTCATGGGTTAGATATGTAAATCCATAAGAATAGTATTGTATGTATGTACATTCCTTTTTTAATATACATATAAAATCCCCCATTAACACCTGCACAAAAACGGTTCCTTAAAACTCCTCTAAGTAAAGATTTTTTTATCCCTAACAAAAACTTTACAACTCAACAATAAATAAATTACAATTTCTACCCAAAAGCCTTGGTTTACATCGTTAAACAAAAAAAGAAGAATTTTTTTAATATAAAAAAGAAAATTTCAACTCTTATCCATCTTGAAGAACCTTCCAATGAACATGCATGCATGAAGTGCTGCAATAATTGTAATCGTACCTGTGGAATGGTATCTTCCCCGCCAAGGAAGCATTGCAGAATGAGCAGAAGTGATCCTTAGCTGAAGCATTGGTTTCTGAACTGCTAACTGCTGTGGTTCCCTCATTCTTCATGGCTGCTATTCTCCTTTCTGCTGCAGCAGCTCTCTTCTCTCTCTCTGCTGCAAGGGATAGTTTTTCTTCCTCCTGATGAAATATGACAATATAGCAAGTTAAGCCATTACAGAAAACAAGTTTTGAAGCTAATTTTTCGAGATACAGGTATTGGCGATAGGCGATGCGACCGACCTCCTTTGAGATTGCCTCAATATTTGGTTTTGGTTGTTGTCTTGAAGGCGCCACCCGCGCGGTGGGCTGTGCAAAGGGAAGGAACTCAAGATCATTCGGACAGTTATAAGAGGCAGTTTGGGATTATTTTTTATTTATATTTTTGCGTAAAAATAAAATATATTTGATATGTTATAATATGATTAGTTATTTTTAAAACACTTTGAATATTTTTTGAAAATTTTGAGTATTTTAAAACCTGCTAATTTGTTTTAAGAAAAATAAAAACATAAAAAAAATACTAAGCAAATATTTTAAAAATAAAAAATAAAAAAGTGACCCAACTAACCTCCTCTGAGATTTGTTGTCTAACATGAGGAAGCGGTTGATCTTTAGGTGGTTCTTCGGAAGCAGAAGCCGCCTGTTCCTGCATCTAAGTAGTAAACAAAACAAACCAAAAAAAAGGTTACAGCTTGCATTGCCAATGAAAGGATTATAAAAGGAAGCCAACGGAAGAAAAAATTAATTTTATTTAAAGCTGTTTTTTTTTTTTTTTGAAAAAAAGTTAAATAGCAGCTGTAAGAAACACACTAAATTTTATTCTATTTAGTTCTAAAAACAGCTCCTCGCCCCAAAAATTTTGAAGTAATAAGAAAGTAGAAGTCAAATGTATGTGTCCAACAGCGGCTGAAAAGCAAAGCAGTGAGAAAACTACACTGAATTAATCCTGAACTTGCTTTAAACGTTTCCATATTGATGATTGACAAGGCTCTCATGCAGAAACATGAATATATCAAATTGAATGTGACATTCTATAATCATATTTTCTTGAATTATCATTTGATTGATCTTCATAAACATGCATGCATATTAGTTATGCTTTCTTATCAACCTTAACTCTAGAGTTATCCACGAGTGTCGTGAATTGTATCTACTTGTACTGAATATTCGCCCAAGTATTCAACTATTACTCCTATCAGTGACCAGGGACGTGTAGAATTTTTAAAAATTAAAAGGGCAATTCCATACATACCACACAATTCTTATATATTTATATATCTAACACCTAAACATTCATAATTACATGCATACCACTTAAATCTTTAACATCACATGGAAATATTACAATCACTATCCTTTTAAAAGTTAAATACACATTTTCATGCATAAGTTTATGACATCAAGATGTTATAAGTGGAAATATCAAATTTTGGGCATTAGATTTGTAAATACGTAAAAATTTTGTGGTATGTATGCACATTTTTAAAAATAAAAAGCATGGAAAGTGTATGTTCACATGTCCTCCATGTATTCAATATCTACAAAATTGTCCCCTAAAAGTATCCATGTTCCATAATTAACTGCAATAACGAACTGCTTAAAGTTTACTAAAGCCTAATTATTTCGAAAGGATATTAATTCTCATTTCCAGTTAAATTTTGAAACAATTAAATTAATATAACTCACAAACTTGTAAGGCTTGTGACATAAACTCCTTGAAAAGTAGTCTTTCTCTTATCTACATTTAATTTTATCTTACTAATTAATATTTAAGGATATAATGGATTATAGCTTCTTGAAAAATAACAAACTTCTAGCCAATGGTTTTCTCCCTCTCATGGCTTCTTATAACTACAACATCTATTATTACGGGAAAGAAAATCATCTTATTCATTCAGAGGCTAACAAATTGCTTATTTTTCTTTCCCTCTCATCTTCTGCCCTCATTAGGGCAGTCAAAAAGGCTCGTTGTTCGCGAACAACTCGTGTTCGGCTCGTTTTGGCTTGAAATAATTAAATATTATATTATATATAATTTAATTGAACACAAGGCTACAAAGGTTTATAATCAATTAAAAAAACTAATAAAAAATAGAATAAAAATATATCAAATTATATTTAAATGAATACTTTAATATAAATAATAAGATTTAAAACTTGCCCGACCCTTAATATCCTAAGGCTGGGTGACTAGGGTTGTCAAAATGACTCATTGTTTGTGAACAACTCGCGTTCAGCTCGATAAACAAACGAGTCAAGCATGAACAATTTTTTTCAACTCGATATATAAACGAGCTGAATACAAATAATAATGTTTTTAACAAATCGAGCTTGGGCTCACTCAAGCTCGGCTCGTTTACACCTTAACGGCTGCATGAGTGACTAGAGTTGTCAAAACAGTTTTTTGTTCGTGAACTGCTCGCGAGCCGAACAAGAATAGTGACATTTTTTAAAGAGCCGAAAATGAGCTGAGCCCAAGCTCGCTCGTGTTTGGCTCATTTACACCGCTACCCTTCATATTAATCACAATTGGTTAAAAGTTAATTGGAGAAATAATGTTGATTATTGTGTCAAATTGGACATAATTAAATTTATTTGAAGGCATAATGTCTAATTTTTAAATAAGTAAATCTATTAAAACAGATTAAGGATAATTTCTTAATCATAATTTAGTAACGCATTGATGATAAAGTAAAATCTTTTTTGACAAAATCAAACATAAACTAAACAAAAAATACTTACCATTCATCTAATAAAAAGATCAATCGCATGACAAATTTAAGAAATTTAAAAATAATAACAACATATTTAATGTATACTAAGACTAAAAACATATATAGTCAAATAATAATTGTCTCAACATTACTTTTTTATAAATATTTATTTCATTGAAATTCCTAGGCAAGGATTTAAATATGAAATTAAGAAATAATTCTCCCAAGATACAAGAGGAAACTTATAATAGATATTAAAGAAATTTTATTCATTCTCCATTCACCTAAGGCATGTTAACCAAATGCAAACCGTAGTATCATATATGGTAAAATTTAATCATATTGTAATACTTGATATTTTTAAGTTCAGTCGGATACAAAAAAAAATATTTTAAGATGCAAAACGACTTTAAATCTAACTTGTATTTTAGTTAAAACTATATTTTTAACATATCCCACACTAGAATATACACTAGAGTTCACTCTAGGGACACTCATGCACTTAAGCCAAAAAGTAAACAAGAGGAATATGAAACAGAATTATAAAATGAAATCATATTTAAACCTAAACACTAGGCACTCTAATGCGTCAAATAAATTCTTCATCAATAATCTAAATCAATTGGTATTAGTGTTGAATTTCCTTGTGATGTTTATATCTAAACCCTAACCTGAAGCAATACGAATTTCTTTCATTTGTTATAATGACAATGATAAAGCCACAAAAATTGGCATTGTAACATGCTTAGGGTATGCCTAGAAAATACATCATAAAAATAGAAAATTAACCCATTAAGTCCCAAGTTTATCATTCTTCACTTAAGAATCATTTTTATGAATTTATTGAAATATTTCATCAAGCTCATACTAAAGTGTCAACATTATCATGGATAAAGTCTAAATGTGGGTAAATTATATGGGTTACGGGATTATAAGCTTTATATAACATTATATAAAATAAGTGGTCAACGTACAAGAATGCCTTGTGATAATTGTCAGAAAAATTGGCAAAAAGTATTACATAAATCTATTAAATAATTATATTACAGTTTGTACTTGATGGAGAAGTCAAAAGGTGGTGGCGTGGGCGGTGTCAAGACAAGTTAGTTGGGAGGTATCCGTGGAGCTATTCAGAGAATGGTTTGTATCCCTATTCGTTCGATGATAGATGCTCGTGCGTGGGAGCTAAAGTCGAGCTCTGGAGCAAAAGCCAAGAGGAAGAAGGTTCGTGCATGGGAGCTAAAGCCGAGCTCTGGAGCAAAGGATCGCACTACTGTGTCAAATCGAGCCGAGTCGAAGAGGAAGACGATGGAGGAGCTTCGATGTGCCCTAGCCGAGTGTCGAAGAAGAGAAGTTTTGCGCAAGTTAAAGCCGAAGCATTTGAACCGAGTGGAGCCTAGGAAGGAACCTCATGCTCGAAGAAGTGGGGGATCGACTGAGCTAGAGTTGTTTTTATAATATTAATATATATATAATTATTTATGAAAATGCAAAATTTATTGATATAAAAGAGATGATACAAAGGTTTTAGTGAGTGGGTACAAAGAACCCACTAACATGGATTACAACTTAATCAAAAGGAGCCATAAACCACACAAAATCCCCAAAAATATTAAAAAAAAAGAAAACTCCTAATCATAGTGGGTGTAGTCGGTAGATTTACCGTTTCCCCGCTTCTCCTTCCTTTGGATCTAGGTAGGGAGTCCAACAACATACTGAGATGTGGGCTTCCGTGGGCTTCCGCTCGAAACTGTGAGACAGTTATCCTGAGAATTACTGAGATCTAACATTCCTTTTTTTCTTCTTCCTAGATTTGTAAATCTGTCAATCATCTGCCAGAGATAGTCCCGTCTAAACAATAGGTGGATCTTCGATGGAGAGCTCACCCCGAGGGGTATGTTAATTCGTAAACTGCTGATTTGACTCAGCCTGCAGCACACCTTGATTCTTACACTCCTCCAAAACTTGAGCACCCTCTTCTCTCGCAATAGTTGGTGCCAAGACACTTCGGCTAGCATCTGCTACAACAAAATTCGTAGCATTTGTGATCTGAGGAAGAAGCATCTCAGCAACAATAGACGAAAGCTGCTGATCTAGTTGGTGAGGAGTAGCCTTATGAGACAGATTTTCATTCAACATTTTTGGAAGATTAACAGTGTCTGCTATATTTTCCTCCACATGGATGATGCTGTTAGGACCTACCGATCTCAAATGTGGGTGAAGCCTGAATTATTTGACAGGGGTGTGCCCAAACAGTTTACAGTGATTACATGAAGAAAATCTAAACATTTAATGAAAAGCTAATAGTTTATTAAAATAATAGATTAATTAAATTTTATATCATGTTATAGGCTTTCAATTTTAGAAGAATCGTCGTCATGATCAATAGCAAATTAATTAAAATTGATGTGGGTACTCCAACGCTTAAATTACAAAATTATTGTAGTACCTCTTCTAAACCAGTTGTATGGAATGTTATTCATGTGTGATTAAAGCAATTGATTTTTTATTATTAAATTTATTGGTCATTTTGATGTGAAATGCTTAATAGGCCTATATTATAGAATAATTGATATATTATAGTATTACATGTTGTGTGATATGAGATTGTGAATGATATAATTTACATTGAGTGAATATATGTATATTGACTATGATGGAGTCACCCCTTGATGGTACTAATAGGAGAACACTAAAATACTCGTGTACGTATATGAAAAAAGTTATTGATATTTATGTGTCTTAATTGACACAAATTTTAGACGACGCTCCTATGAAGTTTATATAGATACATAATGATATTGATATGTTATTGATATTGTAAAAATCATTGAATAACATTAAATGTTTTTATTGGTTTATTAAAAGTTTGACTGGCATGTATATTGTTTCATTTACTCTTGTATTACTGTAGTTTATGAATGAGTATTCAGTGCTTGTTTAGCTCACATGCGTTTTAAACTAACTTTTTAGGTTAGTTTAATTGATTAAAAGATGAGCGATAAATAGCAAAACGTTTATAAACGGCGTGAACAATCAGAAACGAAGAAAATTAAATATAATATTCTAATTTATTTCGATTAGTGGTTCTTTTATCTATTAAATAGTAAAAGTATATAAAAAATTTAATTATCATCATCCGATCGTTTGTTTCAGTCTTGATTAATTCCAAGCCCCAAGCCAGGATAAAATTAAATATACTATTTTAATTTATTTCAATTAGTGGCTTTTTCATCTATTAATATAAAAAGTTTAATTCACTGTCCGACCATTTGTTCCTGTATTGGTTAATTCCAAGTCCCGGGTCGGGTCATAACAAACTATTCTCAAAGAATGAGATTTTTTAATAATCTTGTTAACACTCATCAACAACTAGACTTAGTAGAGATGATTTGGAGAAGCAACATTCAAAATAGACCACAACCAACAAGCTTATGACTACAACTACGAGAGAGTTGAGAGAAATATATGGCAAAGAAAGACAAGAAAATATCCATAAAGTAGTTGTTCCATCTACTCCATTATGGAAACCAAGCTTCCATGAAAAAGACTTTTATATAAATCTTTAATGGGAGATCGAGTTTAATTGGGCACAAAAGAGTTGATATGGAACAAGAAAGTAATTATATAGAAGTTACAATATCTTAGAATATTTACATTAATTTTAGTTTTTTTAGTTGTTAGGCCCATCCTTATTGTAAACTAAATAATAAAAATTTTAGGGATTATCCAATTTGGATTAAATTTATGGTAAATTAATCGAAAATCCTAGAGCCTTGGGATCCATTAAAATCACAGGTTCTCCCTACCCCTTTAAAAGATGAATAGATAGAGTTAATGAGCGAAATGGTTCTTTCACTCTATCTTCCACTTCAATCTCATGAAATCACCAACCTAATTGAACCGATCTTGCTTGAGATTCAGATTATAACTAAATTATAACGGGTTGTCCATCATTGTCATGAAAAAAAGAAAAGAAACTACACTGGACATTCTTTTTGTTAGGATATGAAACATCAACAAGGCATTATTTCATTAAGAGTAGATTACCTTGGCTTTTTCTTTAGCCTTTCTCAACTTCTTCATTTCTTTTGCTTTAGCTTTCCTCTTGGCATCCTTCTCCGCCTGCGTATCCAAAGATGAACAGTTAAAATCGAAGAAAAAAACCAGTAATAGTTTTAAGTTTTCATTTAACAATATTTTATCAAGAGAATACAAAGTGATTCATTTAACAATATTTTATCAAAGAGAATACAAAGTGATAAAAAATTTGACATTCATTAAAGTTTAGGAATGGGTTGAAAATGATAACAAAACTGCAGAAAGAAGTTTTCTTCCTTTTTCCCGTTTTTTTTGTATATGGCGGCGCGGGTTTGTGGTGGTTCAAGTATAAACAAGAAGCATCTAAATTATAACCACAGAAATATATTCCGACAAGTGATGAGATGACGCCCTTCTATTTTAGTACCGTCAAAATAAACCTTTAAACCTCATAGTAATGAAACAATTCAGTTTAATGTGATGTGATGTGTAATATTTTTATTAGGAAGATTTACATACATACCACTCAATCCCTACGTATTTGCATATCTAACACCTGAACTTCAATTTTTACATATATATATGCCTTTTTCAATATATAAAAAGGTATAGTTCACTTTTTAAATGTTAAGATGTTGGTATTTTTTATTTGATATGAAAGTTTTGGGTGGCATAAATTAACATATAAAATTTAGGTGTTAGATATAAAAATACATAAGAATTGGGTGACATACGTAAATGCCCCTTTTTATTATCGTGGAATATGAATGTTCAAGCAAGGTGGTTAAACAATTGTCCACTTCAGGTTCACCGCAACCACTTTATAAACTTTTGGGTTCAATCTGTTCGACTTCTTTCATATAATTGAAGAGAAAAATCTTTCTCCTCACCAAAACATACATAAAATTGGAATTAGTACATTCTGCACAATCACTGATAAAGCTGAGGGGAAGAAAAACCTGCTTGGCTGCTTGAGATTCCTCCATTTCTTTCGTCAATGGACTGGGCACATAAGCAGCCTGCCAATCCCATCTATCAAGGTTCGCAGCCATAAATCTTCTAAAAGTGTTTCTGACTTCCTTCTCTGTCGCCAACATGTAAGGAGTTCGGCCTCTTTCATCTTTTAAGCAAGGACTACAACCTTGTTCCAGAAGCTCAAGAGTCCATTGAGCATTGCCGGATTGTGCGGCCTCATGCAAGGAGGTTGATTTGTTTTCACAATGGGATAAACTTATATTCGCTAAACTACTCGGTAAATCCTCGATGGGCAAACGCGATAATGGAGATGAGGTCATAACTTCTAGGTTTTTGATTACCGGTGACTCGTGAAATAGTTGATCATCTTTTTCTTCATCGCCGACAAGTAAATTTGGGTCATCCGGTGGAATGTTTTCATCTACTTCAAAGGTCAACTGAGTCAAACAAAGATATACGCGCTTCGCTTCTTTCAATGTTGGTCTTCGGACCGTCAAAGGTATTTGTCGAGTAACACGATAAGAAAAACGTGAGTTTTGCTTCTCCGCATCGAAAATAATTTGACGATTTCTTGAAGGAGCATAAACAAAGATACATGAAGAAGAATTTATATATGGTTTCCAAGTAAGTAGCAGGTCTTGAATTTCCTGCATCAAAATGAAGTTGTTAGAAGTATAACTTAATGTCATACCATGTGATTAAGAAAATGCACATGGTCATAGCGTTGATTGAAATCATTCATAAATGGTTAAATGCTACATTAGCTGGATATCAACAACTCTTAATGATCAAGAAAACAGAAATTACAATTCAAAGGAAAAAAATTTACATACATACCACACAAACCTTATGCATTTACATATCTAACACCTAACGTTTTATATTTACACCTATAGCGCCTTGGTGTCATAAACTTGTGCATGAAAAGGTGCATTTCAGATTAAAAAAAAGATAGTGATGATTGTATTTTTTTATGTGATGTTAAAGATTTGAGTGGTATGCATATAAATATGAATGTTAAAGAATTAGATGTGTTAATACATAAGAATTATGTGGTATGCTTGTATTGCTCCTTCAAAGAATTAGTAGCTATTAAGTTCATGTTCAGTGCTTAAAATGTAACATATGATTCAAGAATAGGAATTTCTTATTCGTCACATTTCGCTTGCAACATGGAGTCTCCAAGCATAGCTATTTTTAATTCTCATTCATGTTATGTTATATTATCTGGTGTAATTAGATCTCTGTTTTTCTGAAAGTATTTGTTGTGCATCATTGCACAAAGAAATGGACATAATGCCATGGACAAAAAGTCCCACATCGGCTAGGTGTAGGGCCGAAAAATAGTATTTAAGTCCTGGGCTGCCCACCACCCCAAAGAGCTCTTTTGGGATGTGACAAGTGGTATCATAGCAGATTACTGTCTGCTAGATGTGTGGACTCTCCATGGTCTAATGAGACCCTCGATGGAGCCGATACGTGATGAGGGCGTCACGTGATTGGGTGGAGAACAATGTCACGGACAAAAAGTCTCACATCGGCTAGGTGTAGGGCCGAAAAGCAGTATTTAAGTCCTGGGCTGTCCACCACCCCAAAGAGCTCTTTTGGGAGATGACAAGATAGATATGGAAAGTTTTTAAGAATAAATATGCAAATAATTATATGGTTTGAACTTGTCCTGGTTCCAACATGTACTGATAAGAAAAAATTCAGAAGACAGATCATATTCAATTGCATAGCAAAGTTCACTAATAGTACATGGAATATTAAAGTGGGATTACTAAACAGTCAGGTTGGCATAAAGAAAAAATCTTTGAAACATTGATGATGTCCATAAATACCCAGATTCCTCAAAATACATAAAAAAAACTTTCTTTATTTGCAAATCCCCAATATAGGTGGAAAGAGCTTCTCTCTCCGGGAAAAAAGAGATTATACTTGATGTGGCATATATCTTATCGTACAGACTATCTTATCGTTTTTAACAACCTACTAGGCTCCACTATTTAAATTGTTTTTTTCTATGTTTTTTATCTTTCAGATATACCAACTATATTTCCGTAGTTGTCAATAGTTGTTTTATACAAAAGGTTATATATATACACTGGAATGTATTTTCAGGAGCTTTTGATATTCTAAATAGAATTTGGGAATTATCCTTGTTACGCTATATTTGTATTAAAGACGAGCGTTCACTGGCATGGAGGAAGGAAGCAAGACGAATCTGAAATTCATGTGGATTACTCATGATAATCTAGTGCAAAGGTTACGTGAGCTAACCGCTGAGTTTTTCGATTTACATTAAACATGCGACAAGAATTGCAAGCTAGGACAATTGATTAAAAGGGAGAAACCCCAGAAATCCTGCAATTCAACCTAGAACGCAGGCAATCATACCTTTACGCCGATCAAATTGTGGAGGATTTAGGGACATGAGATAAAACCGTGGAAAACAGGAGTATTCCAGAATCAGAAGCTGACAGCATCATCAATCGGAAATTTGACTTGTTTGAATCTGATGAAGATGAATGACATAAAAGAGACATTCCAGTTCCAAGACTATATGCTTTCAGTGACAAAGTGAATTTCGAGATAAAATGTATACCCCTTTTCTGATGACCATATATATATATATATATATATGATTTTTTAATTGGGAACAATTGATTTAAACTTTTTTTGAATATATGGAAACTCTGCCAGAGAGGCAAGTCAAATATGTTGCATGTAGATTGTAACGAAGGGCTGCTGTTTGGTAGATGCAGCTACTCCAAATTCATAAACGAGACTTTGTCAGTTCCAAATGAAGCGGCCTCCTACAGGGACATTTTTAACCGACTTTGAACAAATTTTATATTTAAAGCATCAAAACTACTCACAGGGAATCTGATCAATCAACGATTATACAAAAGAATTTTATCATCTCAATGGTCCAAATAATATCAATGATTCAGCTAATTAATCCGTTGTGAGATACATTGGGGTGCTCAAGGATGCAATTTAGGATAAGCTTAAATTAAATTATGTTTGGTCTCTTTTCCAAACCATGAATTTACCATATAAAGCAGAATCTCAAATTAATCGCAATGCCAAAGGCAGTACATCTAGCAAGAGAAATCAAGAATTCTTTTTTATTGCACGGAATGGTTGCTTCAGTTGTGAAACCGAACTCTCTTCAGTCTCAATTGACGACGAGGACAAATAATACGTCACGAGTAGCAAAGCTTTCAAATAAAGCAAAAATGCCAGCGAGAGAACATGCATATGCAAGATCCACCAGCTTGAATTGCTTTCGTTATTATCAGCAAGGTCAAAAATCAAATGAATGCCCATCTATATAACAGATTGAATTATTTGAAGGGGAAATGAAAGATGATCATTCAGATGGCAATGAGTTCAGAAATGTAGTTGAAGAAGTTCTAGCGGAGGAGGGAAAAGTTATCGTGTGCATCTTAGAGAAGCTCCTTTTAACTCCCCGTTAACCGGTTGCTTCTCAACGACATGTTATATTTAAAACGTGCACAATTAATGGAAAAGTATGTGATTTAATCATTGATAATGGATGTTCTGAAAACATAATTTTCTGATCTTTTATGGAAGCTTTACAACTCAAAACATTCAAACTTCCACATCCGTATAAAATCAATCGTGTCAAAAACCTTATTTTAGAAATATGTCTAGTTACTTTTTCTATAGGAGAACACATCGCTTGAGAAGGATTGGGATATGATTGATATGGAGGTTTGTCACCTAGTTTTAGGAAGACCTTAGTAGTTAGATATGGGGGTAACCTATAATTGTCACTCTAATGTTTAATCGTTGAGTGGAAAGGCAAATGATTCAAGTTGCTGCCTACATCTTCGACTGTCCCGCCAACCACATCCAACAGCAAAATCGCTTTAAGCATGATTTCAGGTTGGCATTGCTTTCTGCATATAAGGAATCTGCTGCTATGTTTGCTTTGGTTGTAAATGAGCGGAACAAAAGACCAAATATAACAGTCCAACCTGAGGAATCTCAACAGTTGTTGCAATTTGCAAATATCGGTCCAGCTGAGCTACCTCCAGTCCTTCCACAACTTCAGACCAAACAATAAATTGATTTTGTTCCGGGTGTATCCTTACCAAATTTGCCTCATTATAAAATGAGTCGAAAGAGCATCGCATGTTACAGGAAATAGTAGATCAACTGCTGGCTAAAAAATAGATTCAACCTATCTAGAGCCAATGTGCCATGCCGGCTTTACTTATGCCCAAGAAATATGAAACGTGGCATATGTGTATGGACAACCAAGGTATCAATAAAATAACAATTAAATATCGATTCCCTATGCCTCGTTTGGAAGACGTGTTGGACAAACTCACTAGTGCTAAAATGTTTTCTAAGTTGGACTTGCAGAGTGATTATCATCAAATACACATACGTCCAGGAGGAAAATTAAAAACTGTTCAAAACTCATCAAGGATTGTATGAAAGGAAGGTAATGACCTTCAGGCTAGGCAATGCACCTGATGCTCTCATGAAACTCATGAATGAGATGCTTAAATCTTTTTGGCAATATGTTGTGTTGTATACTTTGCCAATATATTAGTTTCAGTGCTTCATTGAACGATCATCTAAAACACTTGCAACAATTATAACTCAACAAATCAAAATGTGAATTCACATCCTCATAAGTATATTTTTTGGGCTTCATTACAACCGCCGAAAGGAATCAAATGGTCAAGAAAAGTAACAGCTATTATAGAAAGGCCAACACCTTCCCTCTGGGATGCCCAAATTTTCTATGGATTGGCTAACATCTATCATAGATTATACGAGAACAACATAATCATGGCTCCAATAACAAATTCTTTGAAATAAAAAACTTTTTTTCTGGTCAAGCAAGCAGCAATATAGCTTCGATACTCTTAAAATTGCACTAAGTGCACCCCTTGTATTAGTCATTCCTGATTTTGACCAACCATTCAACGTGGATATTGATGTCTCTACTACAGGAATCAGAGATGTCCTATCTCAGAATAATAGGCCAATTGATTATTTCATCAAACAGCTAAGTTCAGCAAGACAAAAGTGGATTGTTTATGAGCAGGAGTTGTATGTTGTGTTATGTACACTCGAGCAGTGGGAACGCTGTCTTGTTATCAAGATTTCATTCTCTATTGTGACCATCGAGCTCTTCAATTTTTTAACTAACAAAAATCAATCAGCCACATGCATGCCAAATGAATTATTTTCCTACAGAATTTTAGTTTTGTACTAAACACAAAACAGGTTTCCAAAATCGCATGGCGGATGCTCTCAGCCATAGATTAGTCCTTCTCATTACTCTCCAGACCGAGATTACAGGTTTCGAACACATACAAGAGCTGTATATCAGTGACCGAGACTTTGCAAGAGTTTGGAAAC